GGTAGTAGGAGCAGTGACAATCAGAATGGTCTCACTTGAGGTGGAGCAGGGGGGCTAGCTCAACACGGGGTCCTGTGAGGCGGAGGCCAGGCATAGCTCCCCCTTCCTCCTTTATACGGATCCTGACACCAGCCATCCCTCTACAGCGCTCTATCTTTCTTTGGAGTCTAACAAGCCATGAGCATGACTGTGCAGAACTCCAGTTAAACGTGCTTTTAAGGAAGTAACTGTACAACTCGGGGTCAACAGACTACAACTTGAGATGAGAAACAAGCATGCAGGCAAAAGACCCTCTCTAGTGAAGGACAGCTCGGCGCCCCTTGGCCGTGTGGGCCGCCTCTCCCTTGCCTGAGGACAGACCTCCTCTTCATCCCCACAGGACAAACTCCTTTGACCCTGCCATCTGTCCCCACAGATTCTGCTGCAGGGCCTCTGTGGGCCTCTCATTGTCTTCAGTGTTCCAGCCCTGGGCTGAGTTACAACCCTTCCTGCCTCCATCTGTCTGAAACACCTCTGTGGAGCAGCGGCAAATATACCCAGCTCCTTCATTCATTCCAAGGCATGGTCCTCCCATCACGGTCACCAACTGACCAGTACCTTTCATCAGGTCAGATTCCTCTTTTGCATACCAGGTTAGAGTCACCTCATTTGGATCACCAGAGTCCTGCCATTTGCACAGCATATTGACCAGTCACTGTGAAGTGCCCATTAATCACAGGGCAGCCCAGGGCCAGGTGAAAAATATCAAACCACGTGGCTCATAGCGTACCCAGTAAATGCCAATCAACAAACGCCATGGGATCCCTCTGGGGTAGAAAACTGGGCAAAGGTAACTCCTCAGGGTTCAGAGTGGAAATCTCTCCAGTTGTATTTCCAAAGAAACAAGGCGAAAGGCCACATCAAGGAACTCATTTTACCACGGGCTACCCTGATCTAAGCTTGGCCTCTGATGGCTTCAAGGGCAGGCAACCAGGGTGGTGACCCAGAGCCCCAACTTATCAGGGGCTTTGTGCATAGGGGCGAATGCTCTGTGGGTGTTGTCTTGAAATTCTTAATCATTTTATCTTGGAAGTCAGCTTTGTAAGCCAAGGCTGACAGCGCAGTGGGGCGTGAGCTGGAATGTAGAGCTTTGACTCACGCTCTAGCCCACTGCCTGGAATGTGCTCTCCACGGCCTGCGCCTCCCCGTCCCTGACCCCATCCTGCTGCCCTCCATGGGAGAGCGACTGGGTTACATTGGAATGGGCAGGGGTGGGACAATAAAATCACTTGCTATGGCTCTTCTATCCATAGTCTTTATAACTGGACGGGGGCATACGAAGGAGGTGTAGAGGGTTCTAAGGGATTGGGGGTCTTACCCTTCTGCTGGGGTTAAGAAGCAGGAATCCCATGACCATCAAGCCAGAAGAGCCACCAGCAGAGCCCATACCAGATCCCTACCTGAAGTGGCAGAGGCACCGAGACACGAGACCGATCACAGGAGCCATGCGAAGACCACTAGACACAGCGGTGGGCTTCCCAGCCCACAGAATGAGGTAGAAGCCAACAGGCCATGTGGCTGCAAGGTGAGGACCAGAGAGAAATGTGGCCGCAAACATAGCTAAGAAGGTTATGTGGCTGTGCACATAAGGATTGTCTCCTAATAGTGTTTTCTGATCCTGACTGGTAGTGGACTGTTAGCTTCCCGATAAACCCTCACAGCCATGACTGTCATCTATGAGCAGTGTGTGGCCATTGCAATGGATTATCAGATCCAGAAAAGGAGGCGTGAGCTGGGGAAGGGGCAGTTGGCGGGCTGGAGGCATATCTGGCCTCTGTCTCCTAGGAACCATCCTTGCGGATTCTCCTCCTCTGTGTAGCCAGAAGTCAGGTGTGGTCCCCACATAGTTTCCATCCGTGCTCTCCAACCCTTCTCGGGCCCTGGGCCTAGGTGCAGCAGAGGGTTAGAGCCAGGTACACATCTTGCAGTATCTCGGGGCAGAGCAAGCTGGTGGCCATCCTCCCCTCAGGCTGGCAGGGACATGGTGCATCTGGTGGACAGCTCAGTGACAGTCTTTCTGTCCTCAACCCAGATAAGAGACACAGGACCTATTGGAAACGGGGACATTTGTATGGCACACTGCAGTCAACAGCCAACGTAGCCCAGGGCGGGAGCAGCCTTCAGTTCTTCCCAGCAAAGCAATTCCACCCTAGATGTACACAGGCCCGGTCCCTGCCTTGGGCTTGGGCTTTTGATGTCTGCCTCGTGGTAAATCATTTTGCAACACTCTGGGAAAGGGTTTTGTTTTTCATAAGTTTGATTAGAAGCAAGCACGGGCAAACAGTGACCATGGCACACGTGTAAATCCAAGTAATTCGATACTTTATTCTGCCCCTCAAAGTGACCAAAATGGGGCGAGGAGCCCCCTGCCACGCTGCCTTGCCAAATTGCCCGGCCAAGTCACCCACCCAGCAGACGACCCAGAAACAAACATCTCCTAGCCCTGTTGCCCGCCATGGCTGGCTCTTCCAGTGTTGGTTCAGCAGCTCCGGCTGGAGGCCCGGCTCAACCGTGCGAACGTTTCCCAGGCAGCTGCAGATTTGAAACAGTTTTGTCTGCAGGATGCTCAATATGACCCCCTGCTGACTGGAGCGTCTTCAAGTACAAATCCCTTTAGACCCCAGAAAGTCTGTTCATTTTTGCAGCAAGATGAATCTTTCAGAGGTTTCCTAAGCCGCTTCTCATGAACCGGTGACTATTCAAGGAGAGCTACATTTGAAGCGTGTACAAAAGCTTGTCTTCACAGTCACTTGTGCCGTGCTATACAGACTTCTACTTCTGTCAGACCTTAACACCTCCCTCTCTGAATTTTCATGAATTTCTGTTTCACAAGGGTTGTTTTATAGACACTGGCATCTGCATATAATAAAACACTAGTACCAAAAAAAATGGGGAGAGGGTGGGAAGAAAGCCTATTCAATGTCCATGAGAGTCTCTCTTATGAGCCCTCTCATATACTCTTGGCAGAAGGATAATTGGGTAGTTGGAGAAATACTTAGAAAGGGAAATTTGGCAAAAGGTAGCAAAAGACTTTAAAATGTATGTATCTTTTGAACTTTCAAAGATATTTTTCCACAGTCTTATTTTCAGTGGTTGTTCATTAAAAAGCCAGATGTCAAATTAACTCTTAATTTTCCTTTTTTGAAGCTTATCGACCATGTGTTTGGGGGGTGGGGGTGGCGGGGGCAGGGGTGGCAGGGGCAGCGGCGGCAGGAGTGACTATGTGAGGTCTCAAGTCTGTCTTCCCTTCTAAGAAACCAGTATCTGTTTTGGTGACTGTTGTTTCCGCTCTTCTTGGCAGTTCTGAGAACACAGTACCGCTCCACGAGCCAAGTCCCTGACAGGCTCCTGCATCCTTTCTGTCTGGGAGGGTAGGATGGCTCACTGATGTGGGCACTCTAGCCGCCTTCCCTGTGGGCTGTTGCCAGGCGTCTGTCTGCTTCCGTAATGCCCTCTGGCACTGTCCTCCTGTTTATTGTTGTTGTTGGGTGTCCTTGAGTCCATTCTGATCCACAGCGACTTGCACTACAGAATGAAACACTTCCAGGTCCGGCGGCGTCCTGAGACTTGGGTTTGAGTCCGTTGTCGCAGCCATGGTGTTACTCCATCGCACTGAGGGCCTTCCTCTGTTTCTCTGCTCCTCTACCCAACACGATGTCCTTCTCCAGGGACTCGTCTCTCCTGAGAACATGTCAAAAGTAGGTAAGACGAAATCTCTCCATCCTTGCCTCTAAGGAGCCCTCTGGCCCTACTTCTTCGCAGACTGATTGGTTTTTCCTTTTAGTGGTCCATGGTGCTTTCAATATTCTTCTCCAGAACCACAATTCAAATGCATCAACTTTTCTTCTGTCTTCTGTCTTCATTGTCCAACTTTCACATGCCTACGAGGCTATTGCAAATACCAGGGCTTGGGCGAGGTGCACCTTAGTCCTCAAAGTAACCTCCTTGCTGTTCAGTACCCTAACTTGTCTTGTGCAGCAATTTTACCTATGCAAATCTTCTTTTGAGTCCCTGGACCATTTTAAAACCAGATACTCTACAGCCTCAAGGTTTTGTTCCTCTTGTTGATTTCTTCCACTCCATCAAGTTGATTCTGACTCATAGTGACCCTATATTAATATGTATTTATTTAAATTTCTATCATCTCGTGGGATTTGGCATGAGAGAGGTACTTGGGCACTTAAACATGTGAGATGGCATTACACAAAGATCTCTCTTTAACCATTAGGCCAGTCAGTCTATCTCAAGGAATTTCTTCCAAGAAAGCACTAAAAAATAAGCAATAGTAGGCATACCGTAGAACAATCAACCATTCAAGATCAAAAGGGCAGCATTTACCAGACACAATTCAAGTGGACTAGGGAAGGAGGAGAAATGGAAACAGGAAACAGAGGGAGGAAGTGGGGGAATTGATGCCAAAGGAACAAAAGGTGACATTTCTTCAAACTTAGTGAATATTTCCAATTTGGCATAATGTTTGGAAAAAACAAGCATAGGACTAAGAAAAAGTATGAGAACTATTTAATGGTGCAAAAAAAATCACTGATGTAGGAAGTAAAATTTCAGGTTATAAAATTATTTTTTAAATCTCATTTTGGTACAAAGTGCACCCGCTTTTAGAGAAACGGGTAGCTCTGTGTGGTGGCCTTTCTGGCGACTTTCAGTTTTTCCGCCACAATCTTGGGAACGGTTTGCAGCAGCAAGTCCAGCCCTCTGGTGCCAACCTCTTCTTACCTCCCCAGGTGCGCTAGAAGATGGACTCGCCTCCAGTGCTCTCCCCCGACCTCCAGGCCCTAGTGGAAAGGCGAACCCCGAGAAGAAGATGAGCTGTGGGACCCAGTGCCTCAACCCTCAGAGTGTCAGCTCAGGCCCTCTGACCCAGCAACAGAATGGCCTGCGGACCACCGAGGTAGGATCCCAGCCACGGAGCCAACTTGAGCCTGGAGAAATGGTGTAAAACTTGGTCAGGGCAAAGCCAGGCTGAGGCTGTATCCTTGGAAGGAGCAGCAATGGGCCACCTGGGCGACTGACATTCTCCAGCCCACCTGTGTCAGAGTGGTTGCAAACCAAATAGCTAGACCGTGCTCTTGCCTGAAGGGCTATTTTATTGTTGTTGCATCAGAAAAATGGGTTCTTGCTGTCTCCATCCCAAAGGAGGTGCGTGGTGCTTAAAGAGAGCTTTGTGGAAGGGCCATCTTTCCTGTCGTCCAGCTCTTGCCACCTGGACAGTGAGGACGGGGCTAAGTACGGACTCATCTCAGGCCCAGCAGGAGGCCTGTCTTGGGGGTTGGTAGGACAGGATGTAGACGGGGAAGGACAGAGGGCAACCGTGTAGTTGGATACGAGCCCTGGCATTTTTCTCTAGGGCCTCCAACCAGACAGGCAGTGGGAAGGAGGGCCCCCAGGTGGTCCCTTCACAGATCATGTCCACACTGCTCCTGTCAGAGAAGAGGCAGGACGAGGGCATCCCCAGGCCTGGCCTGCAGCCTTTCCCTTCTCCTGGAACTGTCCTTGAGAGGTGTCCCTGAGTGGTGTCAAGGTGGAGGTGCTCAGTTACTATCCGGAAGGTTGGAGGTTGGAGGCCGCCTGGAATCATGTAGGAGGAGAGGCCGGGTGCTCTACTTCTAAAACACCAGCCAGACTTGAAAGCTTTATGGGGCACAGCTCTATCCAGACACACGAGTTTCCAGATGTGGGAGAGAACTTGAAGGCAACTGGGTGATTGTTCAGGAGTCTTCCTGCTGCCCTTGGCTCCTTCCTGGTGAGAATCCCATGGGTGGGGGGAGTCCTGGGGGTCAGGGAGGGCCCAGTCCGGAAGGAAGGCTCCTCATGATCTAGGCTCAGGCGGGTCTGCAGTTTCTCCCTCCTCTCACTCAGCTCCTCCCTACCCCTTCTTCCTCTTGCCCGTACCCCACTGCCCTTCAAACTCCACGGCTCACCCCTGATCTTTGGAGACAGGGCACCAGGCCCGTCTTTGAAGCCCATCTCCATCCGGAAGCTAAGCTGGAGATGAGCTTCACTGGCCGGAAAGAGCCTGGGCCTCCCGCATGACAGGGGAAGAGTCTGTCACCAGACTGTCACTGCCCCCTTGACCTGGGCATCCGCTGGCCTCCTCGAGGCCCACCCCCATGACCATCTCCCGAGGCCTTCTCCAGGAACTGCCATTGAGAGATGCCCAACTATCAATGGGCACCAAAGAACTGGAGGAAGAAGACCTGATGGTGCCCTCCCCTTGGGTTGACAGCCCAGCCAACCCTCTGGGGCCAGTTCTTCTTTGTCACGGGAGCCATTTGAGGCCACCTGTGACGGCATCCGCGGGCTCAGGCGCAGGCACAATGGTGAAGACGGTGGCGGACCGCGCACTGTTTCGCTCTGTTGTGCAGTGGGTCGCTCTGGGCCAGAGCCAACTCAATAGCCCCTCACAAGACAGGGCCGTGACATGCATACATGCAGGGGCGGGGAATGTCTTTGTGGAGCTGTCCTTTGAGCAGGGAGTGAGCCCTCTGGGTGTCTGGGAAAGAGCTCTCCCAAAGGAGGAAGGAGATGGAAAGGAAAGGTGTGAGGTCCCATAAAGAGGCCTGTGTGGTCACAACGGAGCGGCCGGCAAAAGAGAAGCTGGACAGACGGTGATGGGCCAAGCGGGGCGTGCGGACCAAATAGAAACACACAGGTCATTCGGAGGAGTTTGGCTTAAAAAGCAGGAAATCCCATAGCATGTCACTATTTTAAGAGTACAATTGGGTGAGTATTGATTTTTACGAGCGGGCTTCAAAACGTTCATGGAAAAATCCCATGAACTTTTGTTGTTGTCGTTTTAGTTTTTATTCCCATTAGCGTTTCATTCCATTTGTCCATGAACTGCTGGGCTGTGGAACAGTCAGCATTGCTACACAACTTAGATAGCTGTGGGCCCGCTCAATATCACCCACAGGGAATGGCAGCTGCTCTATTTCAGAGATGTCACCCCTCTGAATGAGGGAGCTAACATCGGGAGTGACAGCTCAGCACTGTGCTCTGGGCCTTTCCCCACGGCGGCGCAGCCCACCAAGCTCAGTGTGTGCCGGGGCCCACCTCCCTCTGCCCTGGCCTTGTGCCTGCTGTGAATGGGTGTTAACTGGCAAAAAACAAACACATGTGGCAACACGGAGCATTCACAAATCGGAACGGCCTGTCTCGGTGGCTTCTTCTAGCTTCTTCTCCATGGCACCTTGATTTCCTCTCCTGATTGGAGACTTTATCGACTCCACGGTGTACATTGTCCATCTCTGGCTGGCTTGCCTTCACTCGCGGTTCCATAAACAGCCCACACGGAGCTCTGTCATTGCTCGTCCTCTGCTCGCAAGTCGTCCAGGAACTCCGTGCTGCCTCCAAACGTTTACGCCCCCCGAAGATGCCACCTCGTTGGGCTGAGAACTCTTTTGTTTTTCCTCCTCAGAACCACCTCCTCAAGGGTCCAGCCAAGGGTCCATGCGGCGACAGCTGTGAATAGACAGAGCTCTGAGGATGTGGCCAGACTCTCAATGAACGCTTCGTGTTTTCAAAAACAGCACATGTCCAAATTGCTCTATTATTGTTGGCAGCATGATTAGACTGTGCTAAAGGAATTAGCGATGTCTGGGCTAAGTCTCAGCTGGGGAGTGGGCCCGGCCCCACCCCAGTGTCGGATGACTGTCAAAGCTTAGTTCAATTTCAGAATGATAAGCGAGACCTCAGAGATGATGATGGGTGGAGAGGGAGGCCTGATCAAGAGAGAGGATCAGCCCAGCCCAGAATTCCTCTCAGACAACAGTCATGCGAGATGGTGACCCAAACCAACCGACCCGATGGCCGGCCGGCCGATTCTGACGCAAAGCAATCCCAGAGGACGGAGTGGACCTCCTTTTGGTATCCGACGCCGTGACTCTTTCTGGGAACAGACAGTCATCTTTCTCCTCTGCAGGCTTGAGGCGAGAGTTCAGAAAATAAACAGAGATCTTAGAGAAACAAATTCAAGAGGGAGAGAACAAAGGACACCATTGAGGAAAACCAGCGAAACCTGTTGGATGGACGCATTGGTGTGCTCACTAGCTCACGTCTGGGAAACGGGAAGGAATTTAGCAGCATGGGAGTGTGTGTGTGTGTGTGTGTATGTGTGTCTGCTAATTTATTTGTGTGTGTGTGTGTGTGTCTGCTAATTTATTTGGATAGAGATTTGCTAGAATCACTGTTTATGTAGAAGTCTGCAGATTAGAAGGCTCCCTTGCCCAGGAGCCTACTTCAGAGTTAAGCATCTCGTAGGAGCCCCGCTGGGTGGTGCAAATGGTTAACAAGGGCTCGGCCACTAGCCTAAAGGTTGTAGGTTTGAAGCCAACCAGAGGCACCTTGGAAGAAAAAATGTCTGGCAAAAAAGAATTGGCCACTGAGAAGCCTCTGGAGCCCAGTTTGGCTCTGACACACAGGGTTGTCAGGACTGGGCACTGACTTGGCAACCAGAAACAGCAGGCGGTCCCCGAACTACTGACACTGACTAATCAGCTGCCGATGCACTGAGGCTAGCCCACTGGGTCTAGGGTGAGGCAGCTTTCCCACAGCTCCCACCTCTAGGGCCCTCATCCGAGGAGGACTGACCCATGCGCGCCCAATTACTTTTCTGAAGCAGGTTGGGCTCTTTTCCCTCTGCTGGTCTTCTCTCTATCTGAGGTGGAAGTTTAAACGCAACAGCTCCACTAGACAAAAAGCGCTGGGCTGGGCCAGCATGCAGTCTTCGCCTGCTTCCGGCTTTGCTCTAGGCTTGGGGGAGGACTCATTAGGGAGTTTTGCTGAAGCCTCATCTGATCCTTGCCTGGCTCGGGTGAGCCTTCCTGTCTTCCTTCTTTCCTTCCTCCTTCCCTTTCTTTCAGAACATTTAGCTTCATCTATAATGAATGGTCTTCATCCGATTTTTTACTATTAGGTGACAGTAAAACACAGATGGCTCGTGTTTAACTATTACCCTCAACGTTAGTGGTTCAAACCCATCCACTGTCACGGTGGGAAAAAGACCTGGCAGTCAGCTTTGGTAGAAACTGCCAAATTCAAGAATACTGTGGCACAGGGCTAGCTACCCTGTAGCACATAGGGTTGCTGTGATTCAGGTTTGACTTCACAGCAGTGGATCTGGTTTGGTTATTACATGACAGGCACTAAATTACATATTGAGGAAACCCCACCTTCTCGAAGTGTCTAACGAGATGAAAGCAAGTGACCAAAGAGCTATAACTCAAACTGTGCTTCCTTCCAGCCCAGGAAGGAAGCCAACCGTGTAGGGAGAGAGTGTCACTAGGGATGAACTTGAGTGAGATAAAGTCAGACCAAGGAAAGGACAAAGATTGCCTGGTCCCACTTGTAGGAAAGGTATGGAATGCCTATTCAACGATGTGGAGACCACAGTCTATGAGTGGTTAGCCGAGGGGGGGGAGGTGGGGCGGGGAGTTCTTGCTGAAGGGGCCCGAGTGTCTGTGTTGAGAGAGAACCATCTTCAGGAAATGGCGGACGGGGAAGGCAGCACGTGCAACGTGCCAAGTGTAGTCGACGTCACTGAAGTGCCCACTAAAAATGGCTGCCATGGCAAATTTTAAAAATTATTTCACCACTGTGAGAAAAATACAGGGAGAGCGAATATGCAGGAATAGCAAGACCCAGTGGCGCTATCAGGGAAGCGCTGGACTGCAGACCCCAAAGTCAGCAGTTCAAAACCACCAGCTTCTTTTTTTTAAAACAGTTTTATTGGCACTTTGTTGACATATGACGCAATCCAATAGTTCAACTATATCAAGAAGAGTGGTACAATCTCTACTACAATCAATTTTAGAACATGTTCTTTTTCTCCATACTCACTGTTATGTAATTTTTTTTCAATTTTGGCATCAATATGCACAACAAAACATTCAC